TCCCTTCCCTGCTCCTGCTACCTGTGGTGTAGTGTGTGGAAATTACAAAAATCCTGGTCTCAAATTTTGAGCCTCCCCCATCCCAAACTGGTAACAGCACTTCAGGAAAATCAAGTAACAAAACCACTGCCCTACCCCAAATCCGGATCTCAAATTATTACAAAAATGTTTGAAGTGCACACCCGAATGCATACTGATGTAAGCAGGGGAACAGCTTCATGGCTGCATTTTACTACTAGTCTGAGGACACAGCTATACATAATAATGGTTGCACTTTACTAGTCTGAGGACACAGCTATACATAATGAATAGTTTCATGAGCATTTTGACTTTTCAAAAATGTTACACCATGCAACCACCACTACTGCAGTCCTGAATAGTGAGGCAGTCATTTTCCAACAGAACACTGCTACCGCATTCTGCTTTTGAACCCACTGGAGAAATTGTACAGGTACAGTTTTTCTCCATGAGGGGTAAGAGTAGCCTGGAAGAGATACTTTCCAGCAGACAATGGAGCAAGGGAGAAGGACTAAATAAGCCCCAGTAACTGCAATGTATAAAAGATAAAATGTCAGTGAAAGGGACACAGAAGCATGTGTTATTTGTAGTTCTGCCCTGGAACACCCTTAGTCCTAAGCCCTAAACCTTTGCTTTGGAGAGCAGCATGTGCCTGAGTCTCTCTGGTGGGTGTTTTGCCTCTCCTTCCCTAATGCAGTCACTGTAGCTGAGCTTTCCTCTGATAAGTCCAACTTGACACTGGGTGTCCCTACGGGAGACCTTCTGAAAAGATACAAAGGTGGTCCATCCTAATGGAAAGGCAGCATCAGAATGAGTTGTTTCCTCACATTATTTTCTTTCCATACCAGATCCCGGAGTTGCTGAAGAAGCTGTAATACATCCAAGAGCTTTTCTTCCACCAGTGACAGCCTTACTCTCTCTGTCTCCAACATCTGCAACTCCATCTTCAGCAATTCGGTCTCCTCCATCTTCTGCTGCAGTTCCCCTAGCAATGGGCCTTTCATCTGGACAACGACAGATAATATGAAAAGCACTGTGGCGCATTCAACCCTTCTCCTTCAAACAGAGTTATTTGCCTCTGGAAACCTTCTTTGAAAACCAAGTTAAGTTTTGCTAAATGGAAAGTGTCAGTGAAGGATACAGTCCCTTGTAAGGTTACACAAATATTTGTTCTTCTGTTTAATTGATGTTTCCTGGGTTATTTGACATATGCCAAGATCTCCCACAGATTTCAGATGTTGCCACTCTGAATATATTTTGCCATTCGCTTTCATAATTGCAGAGGCTGGGCTGCTCTCAGCGACAACTAATTTGGTTCCATAGCTTCTGTAGCACCTATATGCAGGGTGTGCCTATTGTACCAATAATAAAGTCAAGCTCTCAATCAGTGCTTTTCATTCTCCTTCCACCATTAGTATCTGCCAACATAGTTACAAAATATACGCTTAGCTGCACGACTGTGAAATACCTTTGATTGCTTTAAGTGGATCATTAAGCAGAGAAGAAATATTGGTATTTGCATTAACTTCAGTAGGACAGCCTACGTGACTAAATCAAGCATGTGCTTAAGAGCTGGTCACCTCCTTAAGTTTAGTATTTTAGTCAAGTACTTTGTTGATTTGCAAGACACTTCTTTTTAGGGCTGCTCTTGAGTGTGCTTGTAATCAGGAAGCTGATTTATGAGTGTCTCATGGCCACAGCATTAAGCAATATTACCTACTGCTGATTTCAAACATGGAAAATATCACTGTAGGATTAATATCCTTTGCATGGGGAGTTCTGGCTAAATGGATCCCGGGAGGCTGAAGCCCAGGTCAACTTGGTTCAAACTGCCATTTAATGTGAGGCATCTATGTGAAAGCACCCCGAACCCATTTCAGTCCTCATTTGTTGCTATTCATCAACTATTGTGGTATTCGAATGATCAGATTATTTTATTTGTCTTGGAACTTAACAAGAGGCGTGGGCCAATATTTTGTGATGCTTGGACCAAGGTATTAGAACCTGCCTTGGGAGGAAATGGTTCACTTTAAGTATCTGGTCTCTTCTGAATACTTGCTCCCATTTTAATGCCAAACCATTCTTATTCATTGCAATGGGCAAAGGAAGAATCTGTGCAGCATTTTAAATGCCACTCTTTGCAAATGCTTATTGAAAACAGACATCTAGTACGTTTACTTTCATTACACTTTGGGACAAGTCTCACATTTGCCAGTTCTTGCTAATTTTTTATTACAATTTTTAAAAATCTTTATTGTCGTTCCAGGCCATAACATGGGCCCTTCAGAGAAGGCAGATGAACAAGTATCGGTAGGGGTAAGCATAGTCTGAAGAAGAAGAAGAATACAGTTGTTTTTTTAAAAAGAAAGAAATAGATTTTATTTTGAAGGAAAATATTACCCTGATCAATATTTAGTAACTGAGGAGGAACTTCAAAGCTCTGGAGAGCGAATGTTGCTGGAGTAAAAAGTGAAGTAATCTATGACCCAGCTAGAGTTCCTCTAAGGTCACCTTATTTGCTGACAGAGCAGTAATTATTTTTACTGGCACTTGGACAGCATCAGCTGAAAACTAAGTCAGTTCTACCAGCCCAGTGTGAGCTCTGCTTCCCTAACCTTCAGGTCATTTGTAATTTGGGTAGGTGGCATAGCCCATCTTATTTGCCAAACAGTGACTTCAAAATTCCCATTTCCGCACCCAGTTTCATAGCAATGAAACAAACAGAGAGCTTCCTGTCCCTGTCGCCAGCACTGTGGTTGCCATCTGATCAGCGGCCAGGTGTAGAAATTGTTCATGCTTTCCGATAGAAATATGAATCTGTTGTAGATTAATCATATTGTGTGCACACACCCCATTTCAGCTAGCAGGTTTGCTGTGCTGATCACTGCCAACGCCTTTTAGACCATATGTGGCTAAACCCAAATCCATATACATATGCAATCTTGCATTCTCCCCATCACACACTTTAAAAAACCATAAGGATAACATGCGTACAAAATTCTTCCTTAAACCCCTCTATATTGCTCAGACTGCATTCCTATACAAATTTTGACTGTAAATGTATGCTGCAACATTCTATGCTCTCTGCCAGTTTCTTCTTCTTTGGAAGGCAGAAATGAAATACATTGCAAACTGTTGAGCAAGTCCCACCAGAACTTAGTGTATTAATGAAGTTGTGCCCTAATTACCTTGTGTACCAACAGAGCCAGTGAAGAAATTCTACAAAGCCTCCCATCACCTCAACCACATGGAAGTCTTATACACACACCTCACTTGTTTGCCTTCGGATCAGCACTGCTGAATGCCACTGGATACTGTGCATTAGTCACCCAGCAAGTGTTCTTTATAATTTACATAACAATATGGACTAATGCAGATCTAATGTTCCTCATCCTTTAACCATACATTTGAAGGTGCTGGTGGTGCAAGGCCAGCTGGCAATGAATCTCCTACCTCAATGATGGATGCTTCAGAAAGCTTAAATCCACCATTAGATCATTACAAAAAGGGGATCCATGAGGATTTGCAAGGGAGGGGACACCCCTCCCCCCTTGCTGGCCCGGCTTCTTCCTCTCTTGCTCTGGTACCACTTCCTGAACCACCCTTCCCCCCCCCAGTTTGGACTTCCTCCCCCTCACCCACTTGCACACTGATTCCTTTTCCTCCCTGCTCTCTTATCTACCCAATAATAAAAAAAAAATCTATGCCCATTTCATCCTGTCCTTGCTTCCTTTCCCCACTAGTACTTGGACCATTTCCTTCCCCTCACACAGCTGGCTTTGCTGCTCCTGCTTTCCCTCCCACCACTCTCCTTGTTGCTATTGCTGCTACTGCCATGCCCTTCTGGTTTGGTAAAGCGACACTTTACATTGAGGAATGCTTTGTTGTTGTGATGGGTTGCCTTGACAACTCAAAATGGTAGCCAAGATCTCATGGGGTGTTCTTGCAAGATCTCTGCTGTTAAGAAGCTGTTTTGAACATGTGATATGTTTTTATTTAGTTTTTTAAAATATTTCCCATTTTTAACATATCGTATTTTCATATTTTCTGCAAACCTGGCTTAGAACTGTGACCCCTTTCCCCATTGTGGATTTTTAAAATCTGCACAGGGCCACACTTGGCTATCTGTTATGTGATTGTTATTAAAGATTTGACACTGTCTAGAACTATAATCCAGAAAGGTCCTTAAGGTGCACCCAAAGATGGGACATGTGTAATCAAGAGTGTTGATTCCCCTATCCCTTCTTTGAAATCGCAAAGACACTTTGCAATCTAGTGCTAGGAACAGCACTTAGCACAGGGCCGTAGCTAAAGCCCTCCTAGTGGGGAGGCCCTGGGGAAAGGGGAGGGCCGGAGTGTGTGTGTGCGCGCGCCGCACACACATCGCCAGGAGTGGCGTAATGCCCTCCCCCCTCCTCTGGCTCTGACTGTCAGGGTCCCGGCTCCGGCCA